AGCCTCCACCACGTGGCAGCCCTGACTCCGAGCGCATGTGGCGTCCTGTCCCCTCGGCAGCCCAGGCTCAGCCGCGCCCACCACCAGGGGCATGGCCCCCTGCCTGGGCTCCGAGGCACTGGCTAAGCGCGTGCTGACTGCCAGGCGATGCCTGTGGTGGGGACCGCATTTGGAGGAGGAAAGTCCTGCAGAGGTTGGCGCGCCCTCCCCGCAGGCCCGGAGCCACACCCCCAGGGCGGGTCGGAGGGTCCTGGGGGTGGGGCTCCCTGGAGCCTTGCGGTTTGTGCCTATCGCCCTCCCGACAGAGCCGCGTGCTGGTCTTACTCCGATTTCCCGGTGTCGCCCACAGAATGCAGACGTTTGAAAGCGCCAGCTAAAATAAAGTTTACACCTAGAGCAACACCGGGGAGGTTTCAGCCTGTGCGCCTCCACATTCCGAGTTCTACTGAGGAACTTGAGTTTCCCTGAACAAGGGGAACCCACAAGGGAAAAGGCCGGTCCCTTCCCTTTTCCTACAAAAAAGGGGCCCCTCCGCTTCTGCACGGCCCTGCCGGGGGCCTGCACACCCCGAGCCCAGTGAGAGCGCCTGCTCCGCGCGGGGGCGACGGTGATGGGGTACACGCTGGGGGGCGGGGCTCGGCGCCTCCCCTCCCCCTCCCGCCGGCGCAGACCCTCCGGCGTCCTCCCCTCGCGCTCCTCCCTCTCCCTCCGCGCGGTCCCCTCCCCCACCGGCCTGGCGGCTGCTCCGCTAACCCTCCCCCCCTCCCCTCCCCCCCCTCCAGGCCGGGGAGGAGGGGCGTCCGCGCACCTGCGGGTGGAGGACCGGGGCCGGGAGGCCATCCCGCGGCAGGTGTGTGGGGGCGGGAGGCGCGGGCGGTGAACGCGGGTGGCGGGGGGGGCGCGGCGGGCCCGGGAGAGGGGCCGACAGAGGAGGGCGAGGGGCGCGGACTCAGCGTCCCGGAGGCCGCTGACCGGTCTGCGCGCTCGGATCGCCTCCCGTGGCCGGTCTGCGCCGCTGCGATCCCCTCCCGCCTGCGTGCGACCCCAGGGAGCCCCGGGACCGGCCGCGGCGGAGCGGGGTGCTGCGCGGTGTCCAGGGGCCGCCGCCGGAGCGGGAGCGCGAGTTCCACGTGCGGGACGCCCCCCACTGTCGGCCGGGGTCCTCCCGCGCGGACAGGTGTCACTGCCTGGCCCCTCCCAGGGCCGCACCACTGGGTCCCGACCCCCAGTAGGTCCCGGGCCAGGTGGGGCCGCTGAGGGCGGCCGGCTGAATCTGGACTTCCCGGCCCCTGTCTGGCTGTTTTGCTTTTCAAACTGGCAGCGGAAAAGTAAGACTCAGCAGTTTAAAAATAAGGCCGTTTGCTCTTTCAGCTCGAAACCGTGTTCCTGCTATTTTTTAAAAACCACCCTCCGTTCTCTGCAGCGCTGGACGCTTAAACAGGAGCCTGCTCCGGTTGGCCCGAAGGAGACTTTTCTGGAGCAGGTGCAGCTTCTTAACTTTACTGGAAGCTTCCCACCCTGCCTCTAAGGGACCTCCAGCGGGCCCTGGACAGGGGAGGGGTTAAGGTGACCCTGAGGCTCGGCACGATGTGTGGGGGTGGCCGTGGGAGGCCCCAGGATGTGTGACCACTAGGAGGGGCCAGGCTACAAAAATAGACGTGTGTCCGGGTGTGCTGGTGCTGGGGTGTGTGCGTCCCTCCCAGGGGACTGGGGACCCCACTGGACAGGTAGGTGAGGGGTGGCGCCCTGGGGGAGACCTCGCGGTGGAAGGTCTCCTAAAGTGCAGACCCAACCCAGTGGCTGGCCCAGTGCGGGTTCGGGGACCTGAGTTCTGAGCTCTGCTCCCGGCTCCTGGACCCGCTGCAGCAGGGGGATGGACAGACAGAGGCTGCTCGCGGGCCCCGGGGGGCAGCCGGGAGGGCACGTGCTCCGGGTGAGTCAGTCCAGAGGGGCAGGAAGAGGGGCTTGGCTGTGTTTCAGCACTTGTGTCCCTTGGGGCGGGGTGCACCCCCCCCCCCAGGTCCCGGGCTGACCGTCTGGCCAGGACCTGGGCGCAGCTGTGATTGGGCCTTTGTGACCTCACCCCCGCCACCTGTGACGGCCCCCCTGGCAGCGATCCGGGGAAAGGCTGGCGAGAGCATCAGGCCTTCTGTGCCAGAAGCCTGGGCATCGCCCTTCTCGTGACTGTCCCCAACTCTGGGGCGACTTTCTCTCCCGGAGACCCGCGGATCAGGAGGAGAGCGCAGGGGTCACCTGTTTGCAGAGCTCAGCGCTCTGAGGACACCTCTGCCCCAGACACAGCTCGAAACCCGTCCTTCTCCTGAATCAGAGCCTCTTCCCTCCCCAGCCCTGCCACTGCTGGGCGCCTCCTGACCTCGGGCTGCGGCTGTAATCGGTGTCCAGATCACCATTCCAGGAGGCTCATTCTGCGTTGGGGGTTCAGCTGTGAAAACGGGAGATTTACCTGGGAAGCGCATCTCGGTGACTGGAAGTAGAATGAAGGTCACTTGGACAGAGAGCTTCCTGCTGTTAGGAACTCACATACCTTTTGTAAAATGGCATAAAGCCTGAAGTTGAAAGAGAGGTTAGTGGAGCGTTTGTGCGAATGGAATATTGGTAGCACCTGGCCATCAGCTTAGTTGATCTGGTGCTAAGAGGCTCCAAGGGAAGTTAGACGTGTGAGAGGAACAGGGACAAGAAGGTAGCATTCTGCTCCACAGTCAGCTCAGCCTCTTCTTCGCAGGCCCACTCATTTCACCCTCGCCTGAGCCTCATTTCACCCTCGCCTGAGCCCAGGAGAGCCAGGGTGATGCTCTTCCCCGACAGGTGGGAGATGCTGGCTGAGCGCCAGCCGCAACCTGGACCTAGTTGAGGGCCCAGGGCCACGTCTGGAGCCGCTCAAGAGATGCTCAGTCCACTCCTGCCTTGGAGAAGGTGGGTGGCGGCCCAGCCCCACTCCAGAGAAGGCACAGTCAGCTGTGTGGTCAGCGTGGGGTGGCCGGCCGGACTGCCCAGCCGCCCGTGGACTCTGCTGGTGGAGCCGGCAGTACCTTCCCCTTGGGGACGACCGTGTCCTTTTCCTCTGGGCCTCCCCAAGTAAAACGTTCAGGAGTGCAAGCCCACGACGGTCTCCCAGACACCCTGTGGCTATTACCGAGGAACTCTTGGGCACCCAGGGCTGGAACTCGACTTTGTGGTCAGAGGCCGGTCCCGAAGCACCTCATCCAGGGTCAGGCAGCGCCATTGTCTCCAGGATCCCCAGGAAACCCAGCGCCTCCGCCAGAACCTCCCAGCGGCCCTCTGGAGGCCAGAGGGCCAGTCCTACGCAGCTCCACGGAGGTGACCCAGGAGCACCAGAGCTTGCGCCCCAGTGGGTAACATGTCAGCGTGAGTGTAGGTCACCGCTGGGGGCGTTCAGTCCCATCTGTTGAGAAAGCGAAGAACTGTATTCAAAGTACCGAGTTGAGCAACCACAGAAATCAGAACAAGTCAAATAGGAAGATATGGGTGGGGACACCGAAGCGCGCAGCTGACCAGCGCCGAATGTCTCCACACCGTCTTCCTCCTCACTGGTCCGTTTCTCACTCAGCGCTTAGGGCTGGCGCCAGAACAGAGGGGGGTGACTCCCAGAGGAAGGGCCCTGCTGTCATCCCACAAACTGGGCCTGAGGGGCAGGTGGGACAGGCGTGGGGAGGAGGTGGAGACCGGACCTCCCTGAGGGTCACCCGTCCCCGGCATCCAGCTGGACAGCCCCGCCTCCCCCCCTGATGCCCTGGACAAGGTGGTGGGTGTCAGCACCACCGACGATCAAGTAGGTTAAGCCGCTGCCGTGGAGCCACAAGCAGAATTTATGGGAGGGGCCCAGCCAGACATAAGCCACCGGGGAGATGATGGGCCGTGTGTGTGCATGCTAGGTCACTTCAGTCATGTCTGACTCTGCAACTCTGTGGCCTGTAGCCCACCCAGCTCCTCTATCCATGGGATTCTCCAGGCAAGAACATTGGAGTGGGAGAAGGGAATGGCAACCCACTCCAGTATTCTTGCCTGGGAGATCCCATGGACAGAGGAGCCTGGCGGGATGTGTAGTTTACACATTGTCTGTAAGTATATTTATTGTCTGGACGTGTTCATTTTTCTTTGACCAGTCTTGTGCTTGAGTTTCCATGATTATGGAATCCAAGGATAAACTTGAAACCAATGATTAAAAAAATTTTAAAAAGCACTGGAGTGGGCTGCCATGCCCTCCTTCAGGGGATCTTCCTGACCCAGGGATCGAACCTGCATCTCTTACATCTCCTGCACTTGCGGGCGAGCTCTTCACCACTAGCGCCACCTGGGAAGCCATAATGAGCCATGAGTAAGCCCAAAGACGAGGGGGCTGTGGGCGATTACCTACCGGGGTGAGCATCTTGGGCAGATGACGTCACGTGGCTTCTGTTCGCCATGTAGTCACTCGCTGTCTCTTTAAATACAAGGTTGCCTCCCAGAGACTTGATTCGAGTTTCTTTGCCAGACTTCACCAGAGGAAGAAGACCTGAGTGTTTGTCCTGGCCCTTGGACAGCATTCTTTACCTGGGGATTGGAGACGTTTCCGGCCAAGGCGGCATTAGTTTTGAACATTTGCCAGTTCAGTGAATTCTACTGTGACATTGAAGCCAGGAGAACCAGGGGCATTTTTGTCCTTGAAACAGGAGCCCAAATGTCAAGGGAAAATCTAGGTTTCTATTTCTCTTATGCAGCAGAAGTAAATAATATTTTTGTTTGTGCAATGCTTTATTCCATTCCAGTGTTATAAAAGGAAGCCATTTGTTTACCTGAATGCTGACACAGTAGAAATTCTCCGGAGAAGAATGAATTTTAAATATCCCGCATCCATTTCAGAATAAACACTGCCAAAAGCCGTACCTGGTGATTTGGGTTTTGTTCAAGGAAGCATGGCTGATGTCTCTGCAGCATGACCTGGTCTTCCTTCTGAGGTCTGTTTTTCACTCTGCAGACTCATGTTCGACTGTTGGAGGCTCATCCTTTGCAAGAAAACGGGAAGCAACGCCGATGCTTCTTCTGCGCAAGGGTCCCAGGAGGCCGAAGCGGAAGACAGCGACCCTCGGGTGGATGTCCCTGATGTCATCAGGCTTGTTCCAGACCCGCTGGAGGGGCCACCCCCGCCCGCAGGTAGGCCTGGCTGCCTCCTTGGGATCGGATGGGGCCTCGGTCCTCCTGGGGGACCAGCGTCCTGGGTCTGCGGCGGCAGCTCCCCGGGGACCCAGGGCTGCCTGCACATGCGGGCCGGCTGGGCCCAGGCCTGTGGATGAGACCTAAGTCCACACACTTGCACAGTTGCCTTCCTGGCGGTGAGGCTGAGGCTGGCTCTGGTGAGCTCTCAGGAAGTCGTCTGGGTTTTAGATTCCAGGGCTCCGTTTTACCAGGTTTTCAAACTGAATCGCACAGTTATACAAAGTAATTGCTTGTGATCTTTAAACTCATCTTATTCCAAGGATGTTTTCCCCTCCCATTTCTTATTTTGAGCATCTGTACTTTCTCTTTTGCTTCCTTAGATTAGCTAACGGATCGTTTTTGTGGATTTTGTTTCCAGAAGCCAGTTTTTAAGTCACTCTCCTGACTTCCCAATCGTGTCCCTCCTAAGCCCACCCGGGCCCCTGGCCCTGTCCCCTCCCGCGTGGCTCCGGCGCTCCTGTCTTCCCCGTGTCCCCCGGTCTCCATTCTCGAAGGAGCTGCGTCCAGAGTCCCCGCCCCCCCCGCCCTGCGCCGGCCCCAGCCCCTCAGGGCCCCTGGCTCTGGGTGCCGCCCTCTGCTCCTCCTCACACCTCCACCTGCAGACTCTCCACGTCAGCTCCCGCCCCCGGGCCCCGCTGCCTCCCTGGGGTCTCTGTCGGACGGAGTCGGCCTGGACTCTGCTGTTCATTCTTTTGTTCTCTCCCCACGTGTGTAGAGACCACTTGATTGAATAAGATTTACCTGAAAGATATGAAACCGCACAGCAGGACTTTCAGTCTGTGTGTTTTCCTAACTGTGTGTTCTAAAAGGTGACCATCAGGTCAGGTTTTGCAGTGTTAAAGACTCTTCTCATGCCAAAAATATTAGAAGCTGTGGTTTTGCTTTGAAAAAATAGAGAGCGAATAAATGGCGGGTTTTGGTGGTCATGGTCACTGTGAGTCGTTTCCATGTGGTCTCTGTTTGTGATCCTGTTTTACCTGCTTTAAAATCTGATCTGGACATTTAGCCTGGCGACGTCTTCAGTCATGCTCTGGGAAACAGCTTTCATTCATTTCGTCAGCACCACCTGCAACTCTGAAATGCAATTGTTTGCTTATTAAATTAAGTAGACCATGAAATGGATTTGAGGTGCAGTATTCCTCTTCACGCTTTGAAGGCCCCAACACCCGAGTGATGTCTCTGTATGACTTCTCCTCCTTCAGAGAGCAAGGCTTGGCTGAACCACTCATCTCTTACCATTCACGTTCCTTCTCTTCTTAGACAAGCAGACCTGCCAAGTGGCTTTGCGCCTCTGTAGGAGGCGCGCCTCCCGGTGACTGAAGTCTCCGCCATGACTCTTGCCACGTCTCTTGGCCTGGCCCCTGTGCAGCTGGGACATTTTTTGTTTTCTGAGTTTGGAAACAGGAAGGCAGTCGGGACCCCTGGAGAGCTGGGCAGTTACGGGGAAGGGGGTGTGGCCAGCAGGCCCCCTGGCCCGGCTCACCCGCCTCCCAGCCTCTGTGGCTGGGAGGCAGGCAGAGGCAGCTGGGTCTCCAGGACTCGCGTCTGAGGTCAGCCGACGGGGCCGCCTCTCCTGTCTCAGGTGGCGCAGACACGGATGAGCCCTGACCCGACGCAGCTGCGAGCTGCGCGTGGGGGTGGCCGCCTGCACGTATGCGTGGTCGTTCCCGGGCACTCACGGCTGAGCGGGACCCGTGGGGCGTGGCTGACGGGACGGCAGGGCCCTGCAGCCCGCATGGAGGGCCGCCAGGCCCGCTGTCTGCAGACGGAGGTGTCGGGCAGGCAGGGTCTGCTGGGCGTCCTGAGTGCACGCGGCTCTGAACCCGGGCAGCCTCGCGCTGGTGCGGGCAGGGCCCGGCCCCCTGGGCCTCTGAGGGGCGCCTGTGGGCTGGGGGCGCACGCCGGGTGCTGGCTGGTGAGCTCTGACAGGTCAGCGGGCGGGAGCGGGCGTCTCACCACTGGGCCTTCACCTGGGAGCGGGAGCTGGTGCGGAGGGGCTCACCGGGCAAGCAGAGCCCTCGCAGTAAAGCCGGCCCAGAGGGCCTGCCCGGGACCTCACGGTCCCAGACTCGGCACAGCCTCGAACAACAGCGGGATGGGCCCTGGGGTGCAAGAGGGGCGCGCTGCGGGCCACGGGGGGCTGCTCGTGACCCGCGGAGACTCTGCGGAGACTGCGGGTAAGAGAGGCCCCAAGGAGGACCCGCAGGCCAGGGGAGCCGCCGGAAGCCCAGCCGGCCCGGCACCAGTGACCTGCGGGCTTCAAGATAGAGTCGGCGTCTGAACCGCGTTGCGGCCTCAGAGTTGCTGACTCTCCAGCACTTGCGTTTAGACAGACGCGGGTGTCTGGGCTCACCGGAAATCACACGTGGGGGCAGAGACGCGGGGCGGGGCGCGCGTGGAGGCTGCCAGCCTTGCTCTGTCCCGCCGCTCCTGCGTCTGAAGCCTCTGCTTTGAGCAGAGGATCCCCCTGGAACACCACCTGTGTGGCGGGGACCCCCACCCTCGTCGTTGGCGGTCGGTCAGCTCAGTCGGGGCCAGTTCCAGGCGTAGTCACACCCCTGGGGACTCTTAGAGACAAGGGTTCTCCCGTCCAGCCAGGCCAGCGGTCACCAGACCCGAAAGTAGAGGAACGGTTTTCGCCTTTTGTAGTAAATCTGGGGCTTTTTTTCCTCCTTAACGGCTGTGGTGACTGCTCCGAGCGCGTTTTCGGTCGCCCTCAGCCGCTGCAGCAGGCGGGGGGATGACCCAGGCTGCCTTTGCTCACGCGTGTGTGGGACAAGGACTCGCAGGCCTCATGGGCCTGCACTTGGCACCGGGAACCGATGGGCAGTGGAATGAGCCTGGCAGCGGTGTAGACCTCCGCACAGCAGGGGTGGGCGTGAGTCAGCCTCGGGAAGGGGGCTGCTGGCCTGAGCGGCCCCCGACCAGCGTGTGCAGGGGCGCCCCGCTCTCCGCCACACTCCGACCGCTCCTGGCTCCAGGGCGCCGTCTCAGTGGCCTCGGAGCAGCGACTCTGGGCTGCCGGCACCTGGAGGCGCCAGGCCCCTGGACTCGGGGGCCGCCAGGGGCTTTGCTGGCCACGGCCTCGGCCGCTCGCCTTCCTGGCTGACGTGCGTCAGCAGGCCGGCCAGCTGTGTCGCAGGCCTGCCTGGAGGCCAGGAAGTGGGACACGGACCTGTCAGTCACCGTCTGTCCGCCTGCTCTTAGGCGCATTAGCAAAATCTCTGTAGGAAACAGCGGGCACCGAGCCAGAGCTCGTGCCCAGCTTAACTCTTCAACCTCCAGGAGCCCGGGAAGCAGGCAGGGCCTCAGCCACACGCGGATCAGGATCCGCAGGGGATGTGTCCACTGTCCCCCGGACAGCGGGGCAGGGACGTGGCCTCTGTGCCCGCCTGGCTCCCTCCTGCAGAGTGTGCCTTTTCTCGGGAGCCCGTTTCCTGATGTCCTCTGTGCTAGACGCCGCCACGGGATGCCGAGATGCAGAAGCTCATCGGGGTGAGTGGGCTGGGGGTGCAAGACGCTGCGGCCACTTCAAAGCCGCTGGGTAGCTTCTTCCAACACGAAACTCACCACATGACCCACAGCCTACGTATTCACCAGGATGTGCCGAAAACTCATGGCTGCATGAAACCCACATGCGGGGGCTTAGGGCAGCTGTATTCTGAGCTGCCAGGCTTGGTGCAGCCCTGCCGCAGGTGACGGATAAATAAACCCTGGTCTGTCCAGGTGGTGATGCTATTCAGAACGGAACGGAAGTGAGCAGAGGATCCCAGGCCAGGGAGCCGCTCCGCACGGCTGTGGTGGTGGACGCGGGACGCTGTGTATTTGTCAGACCCAGGGAACTTCACAGCACAAGGCTGGAACCTCAGTGGGTGCAGATGGAAAAGATGGCTGAGGGGCGGGGGCCTCACGAAGAATGCAGACGCTCACTCGCTACAAATGTGTGGTCAGTGAGAGGGTGAAGGACTCGCCAACACGAGTCACTTGGGGAGCAGGCTGTCTGTTAGCCAAGGGCCAGGGTACCCCGAGGTTTGTGAACGGGGGTCACAAAGACAGTGACGTAAGTGGGGCTTCTCCCCTGCCCCGTGCCCCGTCTCCCCGGAGCTGGAAGAGAGCTGGGCCAGCCCTCTCTGGGGGCCTCAGACGAGCCTGCCTGCCGGCACCTTGATCTCGGATTTCCGGCTGGCGGCTCCTCGGGAACAGACCGTGTTGTCTGAGCCGCTGGGCCCGTGGGGCTCTGTTAGGTGGGCCCCAGGACTGCCGTGGTTTTCCTGCTGGTCATCTTCATGCAGTGCGGTTAAGCTCTGGTGAAAGCCTCTGATTTAATGCTGGTTATTTGGAAGAAGGTGCTTTTTGGGGAGAGGAGAAGGAAGCAGCAGGACAGCATGTGATTTATTCCCTGGTGGCAGGAAACTCGTGGGCGCTTTGTCCTTTTCCTCAAATTGATAAAAAGGTTTCCCCTACTCTGAAAATAATCTGAAATGTTTTGCTAGAAAATGTTTGTGATTCAGCTGCCCTAGGAGGTCATTTCTTAGATGTTTTTCTGCAAAATGCAGGCTGTAAATGTTTAATTCTGAGCCCTCGTACAGGACAATAGTTACTCCTCGAGGTCACTGTTTCTCTGAAGTTAATTCTTTCAAGCTCCTGTTTAAAAGGCTCTAGAGGAGTCGAGAGGAGAGGACACAGAAGGGAAGCTGCGGGTGGGGGGGCCTCGTCTTTGGGAGGAGTGTGAAGTGTCTTCCCGACGCCTTTCTGGAAAACCTCCGGGAGGTGACGGCTGTGACTGTGCGGCTGTAAATCCCACAGATCCCGGAACCCAAACCAGTGTCTTGGAGGAAAGGGCCTTTGTTTAGTTTTAAACAAAAACCGCCCCTTTGAAACTTGGCCGCATTCCTGACCTCAGTTCTGTCATCCTGCTGCCCACTGCTTGGTACGAC